ATAGTGGTGAGTGTGATAATGAGGAGGTTTCCTACTAGTGCCGCCAGATAAATCAGGAAGAAAAGTGTGGTGTACGTTCTCTGTAGCACCTGGTCGTCAGGGAATCCCATGAGCAAAAACTCTGTTATGTTGGTCATGTTGGTTAACTTCTCAGCCATGTCGCTTGTTTTCTGTAGAAATAGAGGTAACACCGATAACTAGTCTATACAGATCTAAATGCACTCATCCTGATTTTCAGGTCATATTCACGTTTACATTGCTTGTTTCTGTTTAAGTTGGAGTTCATCAGGATGCTATGATAGAAATAGCTCCCCATGTTATCATATCTACACAAAGAAAATTGGATTATAACTAGCATTGAAAACAGAATAGGTATAAAATGCAATAAAATGCAGTGTGTTGTTTATTCTAGAAGCAGAAAATGGTTGAGCATCTTTCTTGCCTCAGATGTATGGCTCATAGCTATAAGGTTTTGATATTAAACTTCCTGTAAAGCATCTAATATACTTAACAAGGGTAGCTGAAACAAACAGTAAAACAATCCTCTATCCTCCTGAATGTTTTCAGAGGTCATCTGATATCAGTGTGGAAAATTTAAAAAGTAGTGTGTATTTATCAAAGGAGGCTAAAGATGACATAGAGCAGGAGGAAGTCATAATGAAGGAGAAGCAAGAGTTAATATCACACAGACACTAAATTTTCTACTTGATGTTAGATAGCAATGCTTGTAATAAAATTATAGGATGCTCAGATTATTTCTTCCTGGTGTATTCACTGGACAGCAAGTCCTGGTGTGATAGCATATCTGCACAATCCTTACAAACTACCATGATGACAGTGGTCGCCTCTGTGATTATAAATATCTTTCAATAATCATTTAATAGTGAATGAAAGGTACGACCTCATTTTCATATTTGCAAACGTATAAAAATCATTTTTGATCTTTTTTATACTCCTGACTTTACCTTCTATTAATTAAAAAAAGTGGGTGGTCTGGGCATGCAGAAATACCTAGGACCATCAGAGCATCTTCTAATCCTCTTCCTCCTTGAAACAAATTGGTTGGATGATATTCTCACCAATTTCCTCATGTGATAAGGATGACAACTTTAGAATTCCTTCTTCCTGAGGACAGAAGAAAAAAACACTTGAGTAAGTTTACTCTTCAAATTATCAAATTTATCAGAGATTTTACTTCCCATTCATTAAATCTGACAGTCAGGCATAAAATGAGAAGGGAAGACCACAATAAGAATGTAGGGATGGGTAACGTTTCTACTTCATTCCCCAACTGCCTGTGACCTTGTAAGCGTGCATGCAAAGAACGGTTTTCAGTATCTGCTCTCAAAATATGAATCCAGAATAGCTTCATTTTCCCTGACCATGGTTGCTTTATTACCTTTACAATTCCCGTGTGATTATGCATTGCAGTCTTCGTTTACAGTTTCTGGCATTGGTTCGAGGTTAATAATATTTTCCATTTTATATGAATTCACCACTATATTATTAACTAGGAGAAACAGCCAAGAGTTCTGATGAGAGAAAGTGTCCCCTGAGGGACCACAGGGCAGTTTTAAACCTCTGGATTTAGGACCACTCAGAAGGGTAATTTACATGCCCCTAAGCATTTTCTCTTAAGAAATAAAAGTTTCAGGAAGTGTCTTTCTATTCATTTACGTGTTTTAACATTCACATTTTAGTAGAGAATGGAACATATGCATTGAAGCATTGAAATTTAAATTCAGGGATACATTTTAAGCCATAAATGTTGTTTTGCTTTATATTTTTTCTTTTGTTTTTTTTTCTTTTTATATTTTTAACATTAGTATCTGCAGAAGTGTCATCCATGTGAATACCAAGCCATATGAAAAACTTAATTTAAGTGAATGTTGCCTGCAGAGCCTCTCTCCCAGATTTCTTCCCAGAGTGAACTGGAGATGCGAGATTGTAAGTACTTCCTCCAGTACACTTCCTCTGTAATTGCATATATATTTATAAACATACATCTTTGGACATTCACTATTCATTTCAGAGACTCAATTTTTACACACAACAATAATTCTCATGGCTGCTTGCTTTTATATAATAGTATATTAATGTATGTTACGCGTATTCAGTGTTTGATAACATTTTTGTGCTAATAATGTATATACTTACGGTCAACTACTACGTGCTCGAGTTTCTCGTTCATGCATATATCACATGTATCTGACAGCAGAACAGTTTCATAATATTTTGTATTTTGTTAAAATATATACAAATTAGCATTTTTAGCATTTTTAAACGTATAGTTAAGCAATATTGAGTACATTTACATTATTGTTCAACCCACACCACCATTCACCTCGAAAATGTTTTTATCTTAACTAATATTGTGTTCCCATTGAACAATTCAACAGTAATTCCCCTGTACCTCCTGTCCTCAGCACCTAACAACCTTCTCTTTACCATCTCCATAAATTTGCTCTCAGTATGTCAGGTAAGTGGAATCAT